GCCTTTTAATGTTATTCACTTATATCATATGGTTTAGCTTGAATATCCAGCACACTGGAGAAAGCAGCAAGGAATCTTTGCAAACACGAGAAGAAAGCCTTATGCGACTTGCGCCGTTGATCACGTTCGTCTGTACACTGTTGTCGACCCGTAAATTTTTTATTTGTTGCAATTCTTGTGTTTAAAGATTTTGGTACTAACGAGTTTTGGTGAAGTGGCCGCAGTTCCTAGCTCAGTAACTAATTACCACTAAAAATTGCATGTTATATTTGAATTTAGCTAATTTTAAAATAAAATTTCTATCCGAACATGTTATTTTTTTGACTGCAATGAAGAATTTCTCGCAGGTGTGAAAGAGGTACCAGAAAGTTCACCAAGTGATGAAAAAGATGCAATTACAGATGAGGAGAAATATATCAAGGTTATGAAGAAGTTGCAGTTCGGTTAGTAGATACTTTTTTGTTGTAATGCACTTTTATTCATTCAAAAAAAATTTCGTATGTTCATTTCCAATATCTTACCAAATGTTTTGCAGAAACTATACCATTCTTCGCAGAAAACTCGTTCATTCCTTATCATTATGAAAGCTCGCTTACCTCCGTTGGTACCAGTAGTTCTTTAGGGAAACGGACTAGACGATTAGCACAAGAAATTGTTACTTTGAGCAACTCATTACCACTAAGTTCTAGTAGCTCTGTATTTGTTCGCGCTTGCGAAGAGCGATTAGATGTAATGAAGGTCAAAATTTTCTTTAATGTTCTGTTCCCTTTATAAATTCATTTTTTTCGGCATCTTTTCTAAGTCCATTGGGCACTTTTTAAACATAAAAATTTTTATATTTTCTATATAACAATTTATAATTTATTTAGAAGTTGCAAAAGACTGTCTGGTTGTTTACTATGTTTGTATTATTCGTCAAATTTCAGTTTATATTTTTATCTTTTTGATCTATATAACAAGATGTCTATCCAGGTTTTAATTACGGGTCCAGCAGATACTCCTTATATGAATGGTTGTTTCGAATTTGATGTATGGTTCCCTAGTGATTACCCAAATTCACCTATGCATGTGAATCTTGAAACAACTGGTAATCATACTGTAAGTTTCATAAGAATTATTTTGATGTGATTGTTCATAAATGACGATTTCATTGTTTCAGTGCACTTAAATTTTTAAAGTGAATGGATATTAGAGAGTAAATTTACTGATTTTGCAGGTTAGATTTAACCCAAACTTATACAATGACGGTAAAGTATGCTTATCAGTGCTAAATACTTGGCATGGCCGTCCCGAAGAACGATGGAATCCAGAAACTAGTAGTTTATTGCAGGTACATCACTATAAATGCATTGATTGCTGTGCATTACTTTGCTAATGTTATTATCATTATTGTCTGCACACTCATAGGCCCAGAAAATTGTTTGATATGAGTTATTACTTGCTGTAGGAATGAATATTTAGCTTAATTTTTAATTCTTAAGGTGATCGTGAGCATTCAGTCGCTTATATTTGTATCAGAGCCTTATTTTAATGAACCTGGATACGAGCGATCAAAATGTACTCAGGCGGGGCAGCAGGTATGATATTTGTAAATCACTCATGTGCATTCTTGAAGATTTTTGTAATTTATCTTAATATATTTCACCACTTTGTGGAGCGTTTTTTAATTTGCTTGATTGGAAAATATTTTCTTCTCATTTTTAACCTTAAAATAAATTATTTCGAATAAATTTGAGGCATCACGAGACTATGATGCTAATATTCGGCAGGCTGTTATTAAATGGGCAATTCTCGAAATGATACGTCATCCTCCGGTAGCTTTCACTGATATTTTGAGAAAGCATTTTTGGTTGAAACGAAATGAAATTCAATCTCAGGTATGCAGTGTAGAAGTTGACCACAGAACTATTCTTCCACTGTTTGTTATCAGTTGTATTTTAAATGTTTTCTCAATTTCTGAGTAATATTAGAAACCTTATTTATGTAGTATCCAATGATATAAAAATTTGTACTCCTATTTCACCTCATAAATTTTATTAATGCAGTAATACGTTATCAGTGCTTTTTGAGGTATCTAAATGGATTAGTGAGATGGAACAATCAGTGAGACAACAACGTGGAAACGGCCGGAGCCTACATGGTCATCTTGCATCTATGAAGGTATATTCTCCCATGCAATTAAAAGTTCCTGATTCTTCGTATTACGTACAAGCATGCCCCATTAATTGTGACATCAGTTTCTCTGTGGTATTTGTAAAGGCATACTGTCTATGAGAAATTATTAGTGAAAACTTTTCCAGAGGCATGCCGCTGCATTAGACGATGAATTCCGACGAATGGAATGCCCTGCAGATCTCATTGTCAACGAGTCACTTAATCTTCAAACTGAAAGTAACTCATCAGAAGACCAGAATAATGCTGAACTGCCGTTACCGAACTACGATTTCATACAAGAACCTCTTGAAGACAGTTTAGAAAAGTCATCCGCTATGGAGATCCCTAAACTTTGAATGCTTTCATCTCATTTTGTATCATTTGGGTCATTTTTTTTCCTTGAAAATGAAGGGTGATTTGAGAATTTTTTTCCATTTACAGTGCATTAGTTAAACACACTGAAAATTACATGGATAGGAGATATCACTTTTTAAGGACTCCAAAGCTTGTGATTGATTCGAATCTCATATATGCAAAATTTTACCCTCTTTGAAATATAATTGCATAAAATTGTCTCACAGAACTTTGATGTTCACATGTTCGTTTATTATGAAGTGATTCAACATAAAATAAACGTTTGCGTATCATGAAATAATTCTATGCTCGAGATACACTTCGCTAATAAACTGCACAACCTCACCACTGACCATCACCATCGATGTTGAAATTGGGAAGGCCTTCGACTTCGTCCTCGTGATTGGACGGCTTCAGAATATGGGTCATATCTAAGCCAATGACGTAAAGGTACAGGTGGTTGCAATAATCCCTCATTTTCCTGAAGATTCCGGTGTCGATTTGGGTTCCACTCCGCTCGTGCCGATGGTCGCTCACGAAAACTGAAGTAGCAGAAGCAATATGAGGTATAATGGACCGTAAATTTCTGGAATCAGTGAGCTGTAAAACTTGAACATTAATTTTCAATCGAGTGAGGTGAATTCAAACTCATTTATGGGAAGTGGATAATTCGGTGTGCGGTCATTCACGTAGGCGCGTGCCGGTGTCCAAGGTGACTGGTAACGGCCTTCAAATGCGCTTCCTTGAAATGCTTCAAAAAGAGGCCGAGGCCCCCAGTTAAAACTACGTTCAACCATTCGTCGCCCAGCATCACTTAAGCCTCGCTGTGGAATTTCACGCGAAAAACCGATTTGGGGTCGGTAAGGCTAAAATTTAGTAATGCATAGTATGACCGAGAAACGAGAGAAAAGTACAACACGGGTGCCGAAAGATGTAAGAATAAACATATTTGACAAATTTCATTCCACACATGCAAAAGTTATTTAAACAAGGTTAAACTTACGCCTCGATCTAAATTAGGATCTTTCAGAGTCCGAGGTACGTCAACAGCTCCTGGCAAACGTTTGGCAGCAAAAACATAATCACGTTCAAACTGAGGATCTTTGTAAATAATCATCAGGGCTCTGTTCTGCTGGAAACAACATTTGGCAGATAATCAACAGTAATAGTTTTGAAATGAAGATGAAGCTACCTAAAATATACTGACAAATGAATAAGTTAATTATTGGAAATTCTTACAGTTATGTCTGGGAACTCAGTGTTTGGAAATGGTGACTCGTAATTTTTCCCTTTCATTACAGCTTTTACATCAGTGCAAACGGTACCAGCTATGCCATGAGTCAGCGAGGTGTCCACATGTATAAAGGTTGATTCTAAAGAATGCATTTGGTTTTAATTGCCTTAAATTAAAAAATTCGACTAACTGATTTCCCGCATTTTTCAGCAGTTTAAATCACGGTACTGATGCTTGCAATGAGAGTTAAGACCAATATATTTCTGACAATCTTTAACAGGGTTCGAAATGATATTTACTTTCTGTATTATTTTCGTACAAATGCTCCACGAATTTATAGAAAGGATGAGACGGTCCAACAAATAGCCGATCAGGACCCTTTGAATTTCTTTCTTTTTCAGATGCGTTCAGTTTATCTTCCATCTTCAAATATAATTAACAATAAATTAATAGAACGAACTAATACTTAAAAAAGCAAAAATATCTCGAATACTTTCTTTTTGAGAAAAAATTAATCTTAAAAATAAACCGGTTTCAACACTTCTAAAAGCCGCTTTTCATCCACAAACGGCAGTAAAGCAACCCCCTGCCATGCATACTTTTTACCATTTAAATCTATCATAAAATTATCAGGATAAAAGTCGATTATTGGCGAAGCAGGTGATACCATTAATTCTTGCCATGAATCTGGCAAATGCGTCCTGAAAAATATGAGATCAGATCTATTAGTTATTTTTAACTGATTTATTCAAACAAGCATCGGTCTCAAGCATTCCTACCTAATTAGAGAATATGCTTAAGAAACTTACTTCTGCTCCTGTATAAATAGTGAAAACTTAATATATTTTTTTAAATTTTTGAAACTTGCCAATTCATGTTTTTTAAATATTATGTAAAGAAATGTTTTCGCCTAAAATTTTTCGATCTGTACCTGCTAGCTGCAGGAAAAACACCCATTAGCTGTTCCAGCGGTGAGAAAGGTTCAGTCACGTGACTAAAATCAGGCTGCAACTGAGAAATTGAACTGAAATCCGAGGCGAAAGGAGCGTAATGAAAAGGGTAGTACCAGTTCCAACTAGCGCAACCCTAAAAAAAGAAAAAAGTGAGCAGTAATTATTTATTTTTCATAAATGATAGACACAGCGAAAGAAATGGGCCAACCTGGTAATAATATTTCAGCACCCAACACAGACCTTCTACGTAAGCACGAGCAACTTTACGTCTAAACATAATATCATGACTTTCTACTTGAAATTTGCTTTTATAATATCGCTCTTTCCATCCGCTTTCCCATAGCCTCACCTCGTCGAAAATTTCATCATCTGAACTGCAATCATTTTCCTGAAGAAATATAAATTGCAGTGAAAATGAGACTCACTGAGGACAAATGAAACTAATTTAGAAACACTTACGTACACAAACATATTGTTCTTTAAAGGTTTTAAAATGAAATTTTCTTGAAAAACTGTCTACCTGTCTAGAATCATTTCTTTCGGCTGAATTAATAGTAACACGGAAGTCGCTGTCTTTTCCATCGTGCACAGAATCTTTAAAATTGACTGCCTGAAAAAATGTGTTGTCATGAAGTTATCAATTAAATTTAAGATACAGTTGGCAGTAAACATTCGTATGTAATGAAAATCACTGTCAATATGTCCCTACACTTGGAAACTGACCTTCACTACTTAATGCAAACTAAAACAACAAATATTCTCATGCGCTCGTGACAATATTATCGTTTCAGTTTGCATAAATTTGGCTAAAACATTCATTACTATGTGCTACAAGAAAATCAATTTCACCTCTAATCGAGCTGTGCATGCCATTGCCCTCGTTTCAGATCCACTATAATGCAACGGTTCACTAGCCTGAGGTGCTAGAATAGAATGTTGAGAAGGTATATATGCCGGAGTTGTGGCTGCACGCTCACGCAATTTTCTCTGCTTATTTCTTTTTCTGAACTGCTTTTCTTTTTCCTCAAAGTTCTTGGCTCATTTAAATGAATATTTTAATCGTTAAGTAGTTCTAATTAGTTGAAATTAACGAAAAATTAAGACTATGTAAAACAGTGCAAATATGTTGTTACTAACTTGTCGGGATTTGAATATTTCATCTTCCACTTCACCTAATTTGTCCAATATGATTTGCGCCTTTTTTATATAAACAACACCCGAATCAGTGAGATATCTGAAAACAGTAGTACATTTTTAGGAAATATATTCATTGAAAATATTCTGAAAGCCAAATCCTATCAATCAAACTACTTTGGATTGTCATTTAAAGTTTCTTGAATTATGAGAATTTTGTGCATGAAACTGACGTTAAATGAAATGAAAAAGATTGTCCTTAGAGTGTAACTCATGAAAAACTTGCCGAAAGCAACAAATATTACCCTTTCATCTGACAGACCATATCTTTGTATAATTTAATTAGTCTGTCAATTGCATTCTCTCGAATTTCCAATGAAGGTAAATGAGGTAAAAAATCATTGCCAACAAAAAAACACATGAACACCTGAAGTGATGAAATTGATTGCAAGATAAGTAATTTGCATACAGCAGAATTACTAGAATAAATGCAACTTAACAACATTGTAATATAGTAAATTAGCGCTTGTCAAACTTACTATAAAATATTTCTTAGTAAAATCCTAGATTTTTCAAATTTTCATACAATAACACAGAAAATTCGAATCAAGATTATGAATTAATTGAACTCATGAGCAGCTAAAAAAAGAGCATTAAATAACTTTACCCAATCATCGATAGAACGTTCCAAATCAAATGGAATTGGCGAATTTATTATACGGAGTTCTCGTTCAAGATATTCGCGAAGTACCGGTAAGCGAATAAAGATGAAATTTGTTTCTTTTTGTAGTGGAGATGATTGAAATTCTGAAGTTTCATCACGAGCTAACCTAAAATATAAAGTTTCGATACATTTTTGCAATGCAAAGTAAATAACATCAAAGTGAAAATAACTGATTGCAAAACATAGGGTTCAAATTTTTTACTATTCTTGAATCATATTAAGAACAAAACCTACCCTTTACAATCGTTAAGGTCATGACCATATTGACCACAAAGATCACACGGTTTCTGTTGATTCGGCACAAACTCTTCTCTTATAATGTTGAAATTGAGTTCATGTGTGGCAAGTCCCAGCATAATAAGATCTGCATCTGCTCCACACAAGCAATGAACAGTATTGGGATTATGAGATGGAGATGCTCTTTGTCGTCTTATAAAATCCATTATTTTGTGTTCCCCTTCTCCAGGCACATTTGCATCCGATAAAATGACCTTAAAAACTCTATTGACTGTATTAACCAAAAACTGTTGACAAATTGAAACTTTCGTTTTGTCCAAATTTTTTATTGCTAAATTTTTCATTGACAAGAAAATTCAATGTTGAAGTTTTACCGCAATTTTTTCCCATCCAGGATCATAACTGATGCGTTGATGAATATAATAACGAAGCGCAACAGCTAGCCTGTCAAATTTTAAAAATAATGAGTAAGTTAACGAGTCAATCTAAATATTACCACGTCTTAATAAGTTAAATTGAAGACTTTTGTTTTAATTTTATAAGCATTTCGGATATTAAGTAAACAAGTTTACCGAGCCATGAAAGGTGTGCCAGGTGTTATGCAATTACTATCAAAATGCTCTTCTTCGGATTTTTTAGGAGGTAAAGGATAGCCTTCTTTCTCCAATCGCAATCTTGTTTCAGCGATCAGTTCAATCTTATCAGCAGCTTCTTTAGAAGCACGAAAACGTCGACTCCGCTGTTGGTTCATCTGGAATTAGCTTTTGGCTGCGATTCTTGTGATGCAACAATTTCTCATTATCTAGTAGCTGTCATAGAAATTTCAAATTTTACATAGCGATTGCAGATTAAAGATCATTTAGATAGCACTGAAATTCTAATAGAACGCATTTAAAAATTACGAAAAATTACTTTTGCTCGTGGAGCTACACCATCAATTGCCATGTAAAGAAGTTTGCGAGGACGTACAATTGAAAACAATCGATCAATGTATTCAAAAATCAATGCCTCAAACACACTATTCACTCGAAAAGAAAGTGCAGTATACAATATTATAAAACATTAAAATACTACTTGAGAGCAACAGAATATTAAACGATATAGAAATGAAGAAATATCCTGCGGTAATGAATAGGAATAAATATACTTACAAACATCTCCTCCTCTGTTTTCGGAGCTGGTCGATCTTCTGGATGAGTACACGGATGAATAATGCCATTCATATCCAGATATAAATTATCGAATTCCTTAAATAATATTTTGCATCAATAAAAATATCTTGCTCTTCTCCGGGTTCTGTCAATTTAATCAATTCTTAATGGCATCAATAAACCTCTTATTTAAATGACAAATATCCAATTCATATTATTCCAAAAAACATACCTGAAAATTTGGATTTCGTTTAGTGGTGTCAACAGGTACTTTTACTCCACTTACGTCACGTGACTTCTCCTCTACAGCATCCACAATAATTGAAGGATACTTGCGCGTTAGCCATCGAAAAAACGCTGGAACACCCATGGCAGACAGTAAATCTGATATAACTCTGTTAAAATAAAAAGAAAATTCTTGAATGAAGTGCGATGAATCATGAATAATTTAATGCAAATAACGCTTCTTCCTAAGATATAAATATTTGAATTTTTGAACGATAAAGCTGACAAGTTCCCATACCAACACAAATACATTGAAAATAGAAAATACAACATGCTAAACTGTTTACTAATTACTAAAACATTAAATATACTAGAGCGATGCACACTGTTAACACATGCAAGTCATGACTTTTGCAAATTTATGCATAGCATTTTCAATGATCAAATCTATACGCTTTTCTGATGCGTCGCTATGAAAATTGTGATTCATCATTCAATTTTTTGCATCAGTAATTCATTTTCCGCAATCATCATTGATAAAATACATCCTGTATACTATCCATTTGTCTATCTTATCAGTCCATGTCTTTGTCTGCCCACATCGATTTATCAAATATCATCTGTCTATCTAATAAATATTTAAATTATTTTTCATATAATCATATTTCTATATAAATATAGATAAAATGTTGAATGTGATAAAATTGGCGCAAACATAATTACGTGAAGGATAATTGCATGAGCTGTGTGAGACTGAATCATGTCGTAAAGAGTGAAATAATGTATAGTATATTGTAGTGATGTTAAGTGTGAATATTTAAAAAAACAATTGGATGGAGCAAACGAATTTATGAATTTTGCAGAATTAAACTCTAAAGTTGTGAGTAATAATCGATTATCGTGATAAAATTAACTGTAATTCAGTTAAGTGTGCTGATTTGATTGCGTTGTCTGAAGAAAATGTAAGAGGATGACAGTGATGGAATGAATGCGTGAGGAAAATCTCTAAATGTTATGAGTCTATTTTTTCCAGAAGAAAGATTCAAGACGTTATTGTAAATGTTTTCAGAAACTTATCTGAATTTGGTGAAATAGTTATTTGAGAATAATAAGTAATGTTTGTTTGAGGAGAGCGAGAAACAGATATTGAGAAAACAGTTGTGATGTAAGCATGCAGTAATGAATGACAGCAGTGGCAAATTAACATACATTACATGGAAGAGGAAGAAGGTGTTAGTGTAAATTTGTATTGTGAAGATTATTGCGTGATATTTGAATAAATGAATGAATAATAATTGGTTGGATCAATACAGAAGAAAAGAAAACAATAATAGAAGATCAAGATAGAGAATTGATTGCGTGATCAAATAATATACAAGGCGATCAGGTGAAGGTGTTAATTCAAATTGCGCAAGATTGCTATTGCTTAAGGTCAGGAAGAATAGTTTGAGTAAGTAGTAAGTTTGTAGCTTAATCCCTCTTGGCTATATATGGATGAACCCCCGCATCATCTGTCTTCTGGTGTATACAAGAGGCACCCTACGGAGTGCTCTCTCAGAGAATCTCCTCGAATCACCACCTGCCTATTACTCTTTCTTCTTTTGAATCTTCACTAGCTTTTGCACCTTCTGTTAAAGTGGATAACGAAAAAACGATTAATACTGCTCCAATTATGAACGACCTTCTTTCCTTGTGATGGTAATCCTCTTTATAGCGACAACACACCATAACATAGTTAGTCTAATTCATCTGATAATTGTTATTTAATCCTTATTGTTAAATACCTGTTGCTGCACCAAACTCTCACTGATAACTCAGTCATTCATATGATTATTAGATGCTAAAAGGCATCTCACATAATGTACATTCCGCTTCATCCACTTGAATCCTCCAATAACCTTTCGATTTCACTCGCATCACAATCTTGCGTTCATAATGAATAATACGTGACACTTTGAACTAATTACTGTGCATCTGATTCATTTCCTAGTTAAGTCATACTAATTCACCAACTTCATTTCTTAATCTGTTCTCGAGGTTGAATTGATTCTTGCTTCCTTTTTCTTGCATATTTAAGTGTCTCTCAAGTGTGATTGTTTCTTCACAGGTCATCACCTTCTTGACTGCTTTTAATGACTCACCCCCATTATTAACAAATACCCTTTTAAGAATTCATGAGTGCGAATGCGTGTGTTTGCTTGTGTGTATGCGTATGTGTATGCGTATGTGTATGCGTGTGTCTATTTAAATTTATTCATTCGTCAAGGTAGTTGTATAGTTTCGCATGCAATTTAATATGCAAATGAGATAACCCTGAGGGGGGCATTTGTGAAGAAGCAAAGAGTCGTAAATCGTTCAGTAAGCAGTTTAGAAATGACCACTGAGTGGGTCAGGTTAAGGTACGCGATAATTGAGCACACCTCATAAGAGTTCAATTTTTCTACTCTACGTATTCTTGCGGAAAAAAATGAATTAACTGTATTATATACAAAATTACTCTTCCATTTTCACGCAGACATTATATCGCAATAAAAGAATAATGAAATAAAATAACAAACATTAGTAAGATAAAAGAAGTGCAGAGAGGTCAGGCTAATTAATAAGTAAGTATGTAAGTGACTTCTTCTGGACACCATCTTGCAGTCTTATTTAGAAATAATATTTCAGTTAACGGAAACGTTTCATTACGTGATCGTATTTCTAAAATGCCAAACATATGGCCTCTTTGCCAAATGGCTACAAATATGCGTTAGTTTTAAATTGATAATTACTTTACAAAAATTTTAGTTAATTTCTTGAAAATATGAAAGGAATTCAAAATTAAAAATTGATACAGTGATAATTCAAAATTGCTATTATAATAATCGTGAAATGGACATTTAATTAGACATGAGCAAGCCTAAAAAAGTGTATTTCTTGAAGTTACTGTTGATAGTGTATGATTAGGCAGGAATTGCCGACTTGTAATAATTGAGGAAGTGAACTTTGTTTTGAGCTATGTGATATCCCAATTAAGGCTATTATGGTAGAAGGAACAAAGCAAAGTTTACCTTCGAAAAAAGTACCAGAAGAAAAAGGCAACAGATGATGTCCACTTGTCCATCCGTACGATAATCATTAATTGGCATGTGAAAAGTGAATTTATTTTTTGAATACAAAATGGGTCCATCAGCAAGCAGGCACACATTGCTTGAAATGTGATAATTGAGGGGTTAACGCATTAATTGACCAAGGGCGACTTGCTGAGCTGTTAGCCTCTTTGTTAGGGCTATCAGAGCTTCTCACATTTCCGCAATGTGTTTGCTATTTTGGGATTAATTTGGGGATAAGCCACACATTTTCTAAACACTGACAGTAGACAATCCAGTGGAACGGTTCAATATTTATTCAGTAAGTTCAGAAAAAACAACTGATTACTGTTAAATTCATTGTTCGTAAAGAAATAAAACACACTGCATTACGAATAAATGTCATAAAAAATTAGACGTAAATTTACTATTTACATAAAGTATCTCTCAAAAAGTAGCACGCAATTACTGTCATTTCATGTTATAAAGTCTGCTCATTAATTATTTTTCCGTAAAGCTTTCTTTAAACCAGTGTTAGTGATAATGCAATTAACACAAAAGCAGAGGCCATTAATAGATTTGAGGCATGGTTGTACAGGCACGGGCATTGATACTGTTGCTGGCACAGTGAGCCTAAGAACTGGTTGGCTGCTTGTTTCAGGAACCAATTTGAAGGGTATTGCAGAAGAAGGTGACCTGATAAGGTCAAGAGGTGTTAAGGCACTTGAAGGCCTAAGTTGAGGTATAGAAATGGAGCTAGTCGCTTGAAGTGTACTGCTTGTATTTTCATTGCGAAGCTCATCTAATTTTCGGCGTAAGTCATTGTTTGCATTTGTTAGATGTTTGATCCTCAAAAAAGTTTGAGTTATTTTTTGGAAGTCATTTAATTACCGGCTGTTAAAAATTAACAATGCCATTTGTAAATTTGCAGCATTTTAAAAAAGCAGAATAAGATTAAGTTCGTCAGTTACATCGCTGATATCTGCATGATTTTTTTTGAAATATTAAAAAATTTAAAATTTTGAAATGTCAAAATTTTAAATTCTGAACATTTCTGCACTAAATTACAGTTTAAAATGAATATCTATATAATAGCTCATAAAACGTTTGTATGACCAGATGCAATACTTTTGAATATTACTACCTGCTCACAAAGTGTAGTATAACTTTAGATAAAAGTTAGCTGTTTATGAAAGCATTTTTAGAAAACTTATTTCTACCGTTTTTACCATTTCATTTATAAACTTACCAGTTACTTGCTAGAAGCAAAGTATTAATTTTTGACATCTTTCTCGATCCTGATCGATGTGAATATGGCAAACATTGTCTGAGTTCATCAAGTGCATCATTTAGATCATGCATACGTTTACGTTCTCTTGAATTAATGCTCATACGCAAAACTGCTTGTTCCTATTATAGTTAGCAACAATTAGCATTTCATTGCACTAAAATGGCTGATTAAATTTGCAAAATTATTGCCAAAAATATTTGCGTATAAATTTTAAACTTCACTTCCTCATTCAATCCCTGAAGTTTGTTAGATTTGCTAGAACTGACACGTTTCCGCCTCACGTAAGGCTCAATTTCTTCCATACTCAAGAGACTGCTCTAAAATAATGCGTAACGTAAATAATAAAAAATATTGATTTGACACTTAAGTGAGAGTATAAATAAATTACACTAGCAAATTCCCTTTTAAATTTGTTTACTACCAAAAAAATTTTAATTATGCTTTATTAACCTTTGGATTTTGAGCTCAAACAATCAGCGCATATACATAATGCACCAGTAATTAGACGAATATTATATCATTTAAGGAAAAAATAACCAAGTGTGTTACTTTAAAATCCTTATTAGAAAATAACACACTTGGCTATTCTCTTGATCAATCTCTTGTATCGCTCACATAAAACTAGCAAAAAGTAATGCTCCTTCGATTAATAATTTTAATGAAGTCTTTGAAAAGTTTAGTAATGTGTGATGCATTTTAAATTAGTTTATATTTTTGTAACATTGCAAATTTTGCAAAGACCTAAAATTATGCAATACTGTATTTGCGTGAATGAACTGAGACAACAAGTTATAGTTCTTCTACAAAATAAGACCATTTATTATTTAGCAAATGTAATAAAAAGTAAAATTAAACTTGGATTTGTAGTGAAATATGTTGCAGTAGCACCATCGTTGTGCAGAAAACTCAAGAATAAAGATAAGCTCAGAAAGTTCATGAAGATGCTATTTTTGAATGATTAGAAGGAATAAACTTGCCGTTCTTGGAGATTCATCAGATTCGCTCATTCTCTTGATGGAAGCAGTCTTTATTTGAAACTTGAGAAATAATTCACCCTTTGACTGATGACTCTATCACGTATGATTAAAAAACTCAACCATTCCAACAACCGTTCTTTCAACAATTTCTGTTATTATGATCAAAAAGGTGGAGTTCAAAATGTAACACGCCTTCTTGTCTTGGATTTATTGGATTAATGCATTCTACAAACGCCACCGTATATGAAAATGCAACAGCTGGAGAGATCGACCAATGAATATGCAGAGTTATGGCAACACCCATCAATAAAATAGTCCCTTACTGTAGTAATACTTGTATTTTCTGAGTGTTTGCGTCACTATAATAATATGCTAATATTATGCCTTAATTGTTCACTGTTATGACCATCGTTAATTATAACTATTGTTACGCATAACCTTTGGCGTCATATTAATGCTATTATTTTCATGATTATTGTAATTATCACTATCATTTTGCAAGTGCTAGCAACGCTAGAAGTGGTAGATAGTAAGAATGTTAAATATACTGACATCGATAAATTTTCTACATCTTAAGAGCAGAAAAACGCTAATAGTTCTGCCAGTGAAAAGAAACTACCTTGTTTGGGAAGAATATGCACTTTCAGTGCTGTTTTTAACAGACGAAAATTCACTTCAGAATATCAAGCATCTTACTTATCCATCCCATGTGTTACGATAAAATATTTTTTGCTCATATGTGCTTCGCTCGCAACACTGCATTCAACTGAGCGAATTGACATTTTCAGATTATAAATGTTTAATTGTATTCTACTATCAATTTAAATTTATTTGAGTTCATTTCAACTCAAATAATAACGTATAAAATACAAAATACTAGTTATGGAATAATATGAAAAGTTATGTAAAACATGAAAATTATTGTAAAATTAATGTAAAATTGCACCATTATTAATGCTAATTCTAAATCACAACAGTTTTACAATGCAGTCTGTGCCTGGATAATCAGGCAGTCTGAGATTATACTTTGAAGCGAGAGCTTCAGGAACAAAGCGACCACCAATATAATGTGCTTGACCACGAAAATATTTAGCACAAAGTTTTGGAGCAGTCAAAGATACCAATATATCAGGATTTAAAGCAAGTTGTCCATCCAGTGGTCCCTTCTCCACATCCCAACCTGAAATACAGCAGCATTCTAGTTCTTCTCACTAATAATACGAATAATTTAAATGCCTAAAATTTAATATTAATTAGTATTGGATTCATGTCGGAATGAATTTAAAAGAAATGAAATCATATTCAAATAGCACTGAAATGCAGAAATTAAATGAAAAGAAGTAGAAGCAATTGGTTAACAGCAGGGAGTTGACGAATCGTCAGTGAGCGGAAAAAATGTTTGCCATTCTCATTAACGACACCATCAGAGACAGTAAGGTGTGAAATAGAGGTGGTGAACCCTTTGAACACACACCTCTTCTGTCAACAAACTACCGCAATCATCCTCAATTCAATTCAATTTACTAATTACTTTTTATTGCTTTCAATAAAAAGCATTTAGGCAAGGATTTCTTCAGTGAACGTAGCACCGTAATTGATAATTTCTATATTCTATTTTTTGAGAAAGACCGAATGAGCAGTGATCTACAGAATGCTCTTTTATGAATACATTTTGAGCAGAATGATTTAAGGTCATCACAAAATTTCATTTCAAAATTTGTCATCTAAACTATATTCATTTCATGGATCAAAAAATTGCAAGTACCTTCAAAAGTGAAACTTGACAAGCTATATTTATCGGAGATTTTGTCAGTCAATAGAGACAAAAGGAACTTTTAACGTTCATTTTTGATTCCGATCAAATATACATATATTCTACAACACAAACCACCACATGTTCCTAATGCTAACTAGGATGGAAGTACGCTTTCGGAACATGACTTTCTTTGCTGTTTCAAGCTAAAAGTTCTTAAAAATTTACCTGAAGGTATATCAACCGCAACCACTGGTAAAGAACTTTTGTTGACAGCATCAATAAGTTGGTCAAATGGCTGTCTTAAAGGTGGTTTAAAGCTGAATCCAAATAACGCATCCACAACTAAATTGAACTTCGTTTTCATATCAAGAGGACTCTTAATAATGCTTTCATCAAGGTGCAATATATTCATTTTTTGCGTCTGTGTAACAAGTCGTTTCATTAGCTCTGATTGCGATTGTTTTGGATAATAGATATATGGTTCAAAACCCTGAAAAATCGCTTTTTAAAAAAATACCTTTTATTTAAAATGAACCAATTAACTTTTAAAATATAGTTTATAACTGTTTTTTAACTAACTTGTGCACATAGCTAAAATTTCATAAAAATAATAGACACATACGAAAAGTTTTAAATGACGTGCGCACACAAAACCATCGCCACCATTATTCCCTGGTCCACAGAGAACCAATACTTTTGCTTTGTTAAAACTATTTGCAACTGCATGAGCACAGCTCAAACCTGCAAGCTCCATCAGTTGATCAACGCTGAATGCGTATGTACTGAACAGCTCTTTATCCAATGAAATCGCATCAGCCTGACTGAAATTGTCATTTAAGTTTTAACTTATATCGTGGGAGACTATGAAATAAGATATTCATAAAACATTTCTCTCACAAAACGATTTCGAATGAGATATATAAGTGAGAGCGAATTTGGAAAATTATCAATTACTTAATAATTAGTGAGTGGAATCGCTACAATTTATATAGTTGCTGAATTAAAAAGCAAGTGTAAAACTCCTCATGTTGAAAAAGAGAGAAAAAAGAAAAACCAAATTCAAATATTAAGTAATTGATAATTTTAGTAATTGATAATTCAAAAGCGATACAAATAAAATACTTTACTATAAAGAACGACAGCAATTTTGCAAGAAATTCTTTTGCATTATAATATATGCAAAATATAAAGTAACAAACCGTAAATTTACAGAAAGTATAGCTTTTCACTAAAGTATAATAAAACAAATTGTCACTTCAATAAAAGACACAGGATTATTTGAATACTATTATGAATACTTCATAACGGAGAAGATTGCATTTAAAAATTTTGATAATTACTAGTTTCATATTGAAAGTTAACAGGATCAAAAATGTGCTGCAAGTTCCTTAGACCATCATGTGATGAACACAGTCTAAAACTTCTTTATATCAATAATATTTTTTCTTGATCTGAAGCAAGCGAATGCTTTTGACATCTTTCAGGTAAATTTTTTTACAATATGACTTTACTGTTCCGTTACTGTAGGCTACATTATCTTGTGTTAATTCAGGTAATTTAATGAGAGGTACACTACAGACAAAAAACTGTGACCATAATAGTTCAATTTTCATCTTTGAGATCGTCTTGATGGTGATGAGAATCTTATCAATCAAAGTTTGAATAGTAGTAGCATACACCTTACAATAATTACGAGCTGCTACAAAAAATATACCTTCTGCATGTTTTTGTTACCATAAAAATGAAGAACAAATTCAAAATAGATTTCACCACCGCCACTAATATTTCAATTAAATAAAATTTACAATTTTTAAAGGTAACCCGTAAAAAATTAAGAAAAGCTTTTGATGTTGACTAAGATATCAGAGAATGCCAGACAATCACACAGGATGATTTACAGCATAAGAGAATAATAAAAGCTGAAAGTCTGAATTTATGTTTTGTGACTAAAACCATCAAACAACTATGTAAGGCGACCTATGTTTTGTAAATAAAAGGTGCTGCAACTTACTAAGTAAAGTTAAACCTTATGTTTTGTAACTAAAATCATTAAAAAACTGTGAAAGGCGATTTTAAAGATATGTTCACCTTAGAATCACTTTACTAATATTTAGAAGCTCTAATGGAATTCATACAACTAGTGATATTGAAAAAAGTGAAGTAATAGCACTGAAAGACTTCATAACTCCTAGGTAAGTTAATACCTACGAGTTATGATGACGACAGTTGCATGATAAATTGAATAATCATAAAACACGACAAACCTGAGAAATGAGATTTCGTTGGCATCTGTCATCCTTCGTTTTGCTGCTAAATGTGTATTCACATTCAAACCAAATATTGAGAACTGATTTGAAATGGCACTGACCAAATTATTGCAAAACTTGAAGCTTAATCGCATTTTGCGACATCCTAAAATATTTTACACAGATTAAACATCAAAAATGATCTACTTTTATGCAAAACCTCACAAGAAAAAGCATAAAGCATCAGAATCCAAAAATTATCACTGCGTAAGGCATAAATTTATTTTATCTCACCACAATATCACACATGTCTGAAGAAAAATATGTGTCGTGTTACGAGTATAGTACACTGACTTCTATACACCAGTGTTTTCCTAGTAACTCACCCATATTAAAATAAGTAAATCAATATAAATAATACACATAAATATATACGTATTTATGAATTTAATTAAATTATAAAACACTTATAAAATGACAGGGTTGAACACAAGCAGTTAAAGTAAGAGAAGCGTTATGAAAAATTTGTTTCAGTTTTTGCTTGATAATTTGTGACAAATTTGTCATAGGGCCGTCTTTTTATGAGATTATTCAGATTTGAAATATCCGTTTGCAGAGGTTATCAACATGAATTGGATTCACTTAGAAAAATTTAATACGTATTATATTGTAGGTTATGAACTATACGAAAAAAATTTGGATTCAAGTATTTAATTATTGGTAATGGGTTATCTTATTAAGCTTCTTTAAAAAGCGTCAAAGAGTTTTGAATTTCTAACACAAATTTTGCTGCAAATCATTTTTTTGTTATTCTGTTACATACCACTGCTTTAGCTGTTAATAAAAATCCACTCATTTGTTTGCTTTTTCTCCCCTTTTCAGATTTTTTCACTCCAAAATCATTCGTTTTAATGTGATCAGATCATTATTTACCATTTTTCAGTGATTGTTTAATGCATTTGTTCAACTTCATTTTACTCATGCTTTAGTATACCTCATAACCTAGTTTATTTCAGTATCCATAGAATGCAGTTAGATGGAAAAGGTCAAACTACATTCAGTGATTCAGGCGTCACTCAAATGTCACCAGTTTTAGCTTTAGGACCAGGTTTGGATCGTCCTGTCATGATTCAGTTTAACGATCTGAAGGTTTTTTTGATTTAATACCAGATATTTTTTAGCAAGTACGATTTATTGAAGTTTCAAAAAATAATATTGTAGTTTTCTAGTGTTTCAGAATTTTAGTTTCGAAGTTATTTAATTATTCATTCTACATATATGTAGTCCTAAATTCAGGATTCATTTTAGTTATTTGCTAGTGGTTCATTCGGTATCGTGTATAGTGGAAAATTAAAAGAGACAGGTGAACATATTGCTATTAAGAGTGTGCACCAAAATAGACGATTCAAAAATCGTGAATTGAAAATTATGAAGAAATTGAGTCACAAAAATGTGGTAAAACTCAAGTACTACTTCTATACGGCAGTGGGTCAGAAAGATGAAATCTTTCTTAATTTGGTTCTCGAGTACGTTTTACAGTCCTTTATGTGTTAATACGCTTTCATTTATCTGATATTATGAGACCTCAGTACTTTTTCGGTCTACACTGTATATTATTGTAGATTTATGCCAGCGACACTTTATTGTGTTGGAAAACATTTTTCGAAGTTGCAGCAGGCAATTCCCATTATTTTTGTTAAGTTGTATATGTTCCAACTATTTTGGGCCCTAGCTTACATCCATCGAATTGGTAACATTTTTCCAGCCTAAAAAAAACATATTTATTTGTCGTTGCTAGAGTCTTGTACGTCATCGTTTACCATCTATCATTAAAATTCATGTTGTGAAAGCAAATTTTTATGACTTAGTCCTTCAATTTGTTCAGATGTGGTTTAAAAAATCTTCAAATAAAGTAAATAAATATTGCTCACTCATATCTTCCTTAATTTTTTGCCAGAAAAAAATCATACAAAATATATTTATAATCATGTGAGTAGTTTATTTTTTGAGGCATTTGTCACCGAGATATCAAACCACAAAATTTATTGGTAAATGCTGAAACAGGAGTGTTGAAACTGTGTGATTTTGGTTCAGCAAAACAACTAATTCGAGGTAAACCAAATATTTCTTACATTTGTTCTCGTTATTATCGTGCTCCAGAACTTATTTTCGGATCTATCAATTATACATTCAGGTAATTTATCTATCACTGTTTAGAAACTGCAGTATCTGTATCTCTGACATTCTTTTTTCGTTGTATTATTATAACTGGTCCTTTTAATGACGTTGCAAAATAAATATGTGCGTTTTTTTGCAGCATTGATATTTGGTCAGCAGGAACAGTTTTGGCAGAACTTTTACTGGGTCGACCAATATTTCTAGGTAATTCTAGTGTTGATCAGTTGGTGGAAATTGCAAAGATTCTTGGTACTCCATCGAAAAAAGACATTCATGAGATGAACCCAGAATATAAGGAATATAATTTTCAAACAATAAAAGTAAGATCTTAGTAGCAGCACTTCACATTGAATTCCCTAGCATATTTTCAGTTTTGTAGTACTGGTGAATACTAGCAGAATTCAATGGTTCTCTGTCTTAACTCATATAATTCCATTTTACAGCAAATGATTTTCAGACTAATTCATTGACGAGAACTTTTCCTACGGGGACAGATGAAAAAGCAATTAATCTCCTGTCTTTATTGCTTGTTTATTCGCCCGAAAGGCGTCTTAGTGCTTTAGACACTTGTGCACACTTATTTTTTGATGACTTACGCTGTCCAGATACAAAATTACCTAATGGACGAGCTATCCCATCTTGTATAGATTTCATTCGTCGAAAATTATATTGTGATACAGATATTGCAGCAGTAGTTACTGCTGCGGCAATAGATTATAGCATAGAGGTTTGTTTTCCTAATAAGAAGATTTTAGAGGAAGCATTATGCTATGTTTTAATCTCTTTTTATTTTATTACTTGTAAGAAACTAATGAATCCATCTAATATTCCATAAATAATACAGTAACACACTAAAAATAGAAAATTCTTCACTTCCTAAGCTATAAGAGAGAGTTGTGTTGTTGATTTTTATTCATGAGCTTGTCTTTTAAAATTCATAAATTAAAGGGGAGGAAAAAACAAACGACAGTGGAGGAAGTGTGAACGACAAGTACTTAAATGGTATGACGAATTGAGCTGAATAAAATTAAATTATTCATTGTCCACTGCTCCCATTTCTCAAGCGTTTCGCAACCGAATCCTCTTCTGATGCATTCTTGAAAACAAATTGTTTATCACATCACTTTAAATTTTACAGAAAGATACAGGTTGATATGGAAACCTCCTGTTTTTGCACTTTGAAACGTTTAAAAGTTGTGAAATTATGTCTTCCTTACCTTTCGGTGTTTTATTCATCCTAATTCTTTGTTTCTATAATTTTTGCCTTTAGTGAAGTCGTCACCCATTTCAAAATTTTATCAAATTTGTATTGCATCGTAAAAAATAAACAAAGTTGTCTTGTTCACAAAAACTGTATGATGAAAAACAATTTTGATAAAAGAATACATGTGACACTGTGTTGCATTTCTGTGACTTAATTGTGCTTGACCAAACCACGATTTGGATTTTCAGCTATAAACCAAATTAAAATTGATTGCTCACATACTATATGCACAGGGTATTTTGCAATGTACTACGGCAGATTTTTATAAATACACAGTCTTCTCGAGGAAGAAGCTCATTACAGGACCCTAAAAGTATTAAACGCTGAAGAGGTCAATTTCTCCTTTGGCTGGGAAATTCGTTCTTGATATTATATTATGTCCGAACTTCAAAATATATCTTTTCAATTATCAAGAATCAAGAATCAACACTGTTGATCCAATCTTAATCCCTGAAACAAGACTGGGTTTTTATTCTGTTGCTTGCTTGGCCAGACTACATATTAGTCGAGTTAATTACTGCGAACAGATGGCATGTGTTTTGTGGTAAGATCCTTCATACCATAAAAAATTTTTTTAAATCACTCCGATATGTCAATAAGTCCCTATGTCAATATTAAAAGTAGACTAAATATTTCAACTATTTTTGCTGAAGCGTAGACTACAGCAGTAGCTGCAATAGCAATAATGAGGGTAATAATTTGACTGCATAAACAAAAAATAATCTTTAATTAGATTCACAATACGCTATTCACACATTAAAATAAGTTCATTTGTATTGACAAAAAAATCAAAGGGGACAGTGAAGAGGAACTCTTAACTAAATTCATTCTTATCCACATCCTTCACTGAGCAAAAAGAAGAGTATAACGAAACATTTTACTAGAAACTGAATAAAGTAAATTGAACAATAAATTTTCTTTCATGTGCAACAAACTTTCTAATTTTTGGTGCCTGAAATTGTCAATCTGCATGTTGCCAAATCATGGAAGCGAAGATTTTATAAGAAATCACTCCGATATGTCAATAAGTCATACCATAGCAACTTCGCTGAGTGCATGCATGTTTCCGCGGATTAAGATTGTGTCAACTGTGCTGTACCAGGAGCAGAAGACACTGTTCCATTATTATTTATAAGCGGTGTTGAAATCGGTGGATTCAAACTTCCAGACGTCGCAGCTAAAAAACGGTAGTTTTCATTGCTTTGGCATGAAACCGATTTTTAAAGAAATTCAAAAGAGCATGACAAGTTTTTTTTTCGAAGATTTGCTTTTTAGCATACGAAATGTAATAGTAAAAAATGCAACATGCAACAGAACGAAACATACTATTGGAAGCTGATGAAGTAATCTCTTGTTTGTTTCGTTCATTTCCAACAACTGGATAGAAATAGGGATGCTGCATAGCTTCTTTCGCAATGAGTCGTTCTTGGTGATCATAACGAAGCAGTTTATCCAAAAAATCTACAGCTTCTGCTGAAACCAAATGTTGATTCTCGCTATGCACAAAGCGTTCCCAGCGTTTTTTGGAATGCCTGGAATAAAAATGAAGTAAGCACTTTACCAGTAAATTAAAATAAATACAGAATTCTTCCCACAGATTACCAGAACTTTGGCTTCTATTAACAACGAGTTATTGTTATTCATAAACTAACCGTCCCAAAATCTCATTGAACCGAGGATCTAATTCGATCTGATATTTGTCTATATATTCGAACAACTCTTCAGTACCTAGCACTCTTGCTATGCGAACGAGCTGAAACAGAGTCAAACTATACAATTTTAAGATTTTAAAAGCATAAAAATAAAAAACACAAACAATAACACAAACCTGATCATAGTTATCATGACCATGGAAGAACGGTTCTTTCCTAAATATCATACTTGCGAGCATGCAGCCCAAACTCCACATGTCCAATGAATAGTCATAGCACTGAAGAAGTATTTGCGAGAAAATGAATAGAATTTTCCTAATAAATAATACAACAGAAAAGATACCAGAGGTGCTTGGTTTACCTGATAATCAACTAATAGTTCGGGACCTTTAAAATATCGAGACGCAACTCGCACATTGTACTCCTGACGTGGATGGTAGAATTCAGCAAGTCCCCAATCAATAAGACGTAGCTAAAAATATTTCAGATTCTGACTCAAATATTAAAGCCATTCATTTCCCTCCTTCTATCAATTTAAAGAAAGTAACTCAATACACACTGCTTTCCAGCGCGTGAAAACTATACCGTGCGTTTTTCATGATCGATCATCACGTTATGTGGTTTCACATCGCGATGCATTATACCTTGAGAGTGACAATAATCCAGAGCTTTTAGTAATTCATATAAATAATAACGGATATCATAATCGGTCAACGTTTGATAAAGCTGCTGAAACTTCATGCTTCATTTTTTGAATAAGAATAATCAAAAGCAGTAACATGAGTGAAAAACTGGAAAACTGCTTCCAAGAAAATGACAAAATTGGTTAATGTGAAAAAACCTTGAAGTCAGTATTATTGACATATTCAAACACCAAAGCTGGAGTTCTTGAAATAGGATCCTTTACAACATCTAGTAATGTAATGATGTTCGTACCACCTCTAAGATTCTCCAAAATTTTGATTTCACGTTTTATTTTCTTTTTTTTGACAGGCTAAAAATTAGTTTAAGTATGAAACTGTCATTGAGAAAATACAAACACACATGTGAAGAGTTTAGTATGGACTTCGTTCAAATATAATAAAAACTAATCGCGTCAATGAGAAAGTAATACTGTTGAGCATAAGGAATCTTGTCACATCAAAAGCAAAACAGCAACTGATAATATTTCGACATATGCACAGTATTTAATTAAAATGCTTAATAAAAACCAGCAGAACCTGAGAGTAGCTAAAAACTGCAAACCTTGAGAATTTTAATAACACACTTTTCTCCATAGGGCGCTCTAGCACCTTCGAAAACTTCACTATACTTTCCTCGTCCTAATTTTCTTACCAACTCATATTCATTAATATCGCCCCATTCTATCATATGAAATTCATAATCCCAATATTCTCGAGGTTTTTGCTGATTTACCTGAAAATGACTCTTCCATATCATTTTCTTTATAACCGAAATCATTCATAAGAATTTGTGCTAAAAAGAAAGCATCATATTTTCTGACTTTCGATGACTCAATGCAACAAGTTAGTCACAGTCATAGAATTCACTTCAATCGCAATTCAAATATTCATAATTATTAATAAAAATTCATCAGAGCAAAAGAAGGAAAAGTCTGTAAAAAAATTAACATTTTTAATCACTCCTTTATGCAAACCTTGTCTATCTTTACCACACGTAATAACACAAGTAGAATCCTAAATGTGACGAAAACACGTGTTACTTCAAATAGTTTTTGAAGTATAACAAACCTCAGCATAGACACCCGCTCGACTCGAAATAGGCATACTTCTTCGTGAGTGTCCCTCCTCCTCACTTACTTCCATCAAGGCATTATCGAGCAGCCTCGTAGACCATCCCAATCTTCTCATACTTCTGAAACGGTAATAAAGTTTTCGTTTTAAGACTTTTTACCTTATATGACGCTATAATGCATTTCAAAATATATCTGCTTCAAGACCACGTTTCACTACTGAGATTTGGATTTGTGTATACGTGTAAAAAGTATGGCATTGTTTTATCGCGGTGGATTAGCGTATGTATACATTTAAGAGAATTACAAGGCATTATTTTGTAACAGAGGTTGGAGATTTTGTCTTGAGAAGACCCGAGAAGTGCAAGTTCAAAGACAGCACTGTACTTGCTGTACACATGAGAAAGTATTATAGACACACACTGAATATCTAAAATCGATAAGAGAGTAATCGATGTACTGGGCAAATGGCAGTTACTTTTGTTCTTAATACTTTTGTCCCTGAGTGGCTCACATTAGAAGAACTGCAGGGTTCATTTTTCTGCCACACTCAGTCTTATCCTTCTTCATATTTGTGTGAAAGTGGATGAAACGTTGCTGCAAACCATTTTATTTGCATAGCAGTGAGAAACTGTAAAGATATTGTGATAAAAGTGACAGTAATCAGTAAACAAAGTCAGTTTCAGTAATGACTATCAAGGCGTTGAGATTTGGAGTCTTGGCATTACGGTATTACTGCTCGAGTACTAATTCAACTGCTACAAAAACAAAAACGCTTCTGAAACCAGTATATTTGGATGTACAGGCGACTACTCCTATGGTTGTTCCACGTTACTTTTAATAAGGATATATCATATAGATGTTATCATGAGTATGAAGTTTACCAGACTATAAACTTTATTGTTGTTGTGCGAAAATACACATTATAGGATTATAGCGATTTCATGTGTAGTGTAGTAGCAAGTGGTCAATATTCTTTATTGTGATGAATTGTTTATTTTCTTTGTAATACAAATTTGAACAAAAAAAATGTTCTTGCAGGATCCACGCGTATTAGATACTATGATACCATATATGGTGAGTGCATATGGTAATCCGCATAGTAAAACTCATTTTTATGGATGGGAAGCAGAAGAAGCAGTCGAGAAAGCACGCTTACAGGTCTATATTTCAGCGTACTCAAAATTATGAATGCATTTAATGATAATCTGTTAAGAATTAATTGGCTTGAAGTATTCTTTCTGTCATTTTTCAGGTAGCTAAATTAATTGGTGCCGATTCACGTGAAGTTATTTTTACGTCAGGTGCTACTGAGTCAAATAACATTGCTGTCAAGGGAGTAGCTAATTTTTATAAAGAATCAGGAAAAAATCACATTATCACAGTGCAAACGGTAGCTGCTCATTTCTAGATGCTCGTATTTCTAGTTTATTGTTAAAATTTTTGATAGTTTTTATGAAAAATTGTTCAGAATTTCATAAGCTTCTTGCTCTTAAAAATTTGTATCGATGGAAGGTTTGCAGGAGCATAAATGTGTCTTAGATTCATGTCGTTACATGTCAACCAAAGGTTTCAAAATAACGTATTTACCGGTTAATAGAAATGGATCAATCAGTTTAGAGGTAAGATCGTGAATATATATACCTATATATTATTCTCGATTTCACTGTTGGTTGCTCAAATATCTTTCACTTTTTAGGAATTGGAAGATGCAATCACAGATAAAACAGTTCTGGTATCTGTTATGGCTGTAAACAATGAAATTGGTGTTAAACAGCCCACTAAAGAAATCGGTTACATTTTTTGTGTAAAACGTCGGGAACAAAATTTAAAATAGCTTTGTACTAAAATCTAAGTTTAATGAAAATTAATCACATATCTTGGAAGTGTTTTGTTTCGCCAAAAATTTCAGATTGTGCATTGTTCCAGGTAAATTATGCCGAAAAAAAAAAGTATTTTTCCACTGCGATGCAGCCCAGGCAGTTGGTAAAATACCTATTGATGTTAATGACATGAACATTGATCTCCTATCTATAAGCAGTCATAAAATTTATGGCCCTAAAGGTGAAAGACTAGCAAAATTCGAGTGAAGGGTAGTTTTTGTAAGAAATTCAGAATTCTTCCTTCATCACTTGTATTTTCGATTCAAGTGCAAATAAATATACAAAAATCTAGTGCACTCACCGCAGTGGTAATTGCTTCCAAACTGAGAATCTTCATCATCTTTGGAAATGGATGTTATTACCAATCTGGATTTATTCGCTGAGAAGAATGGAAGTTTTAGGTATTGGAGCAATTTATGTTCGTCGTAGGCCACGCGTTCGATTGGAAGCGCTGATGTCAGGAGGAGGACAAGAAAGGGGTTTACGGTCGGGCACTCTACCTACACCTCTCATTGTTGGATTTGGGAAGGTTGGCTCTGTACTTTCATTCTAGCCATGAACAAATGTAATTCGAGTAGTAGAAAAAGATTTTTCTCGAAAGAATGCAGAAAAGCTCTTTTAGGCTTGTTTAATCGCCAGTGAAGAAATGGAAATGGATAGGAAGCATGTCGAACGTTTATCTAACCGGCTTTTGAGTCGTATAACTTCTGAACTGGATCATGTTGTGCGGAATGGCGATGAGAAAGAAACTTATCCAGGCTGGTTTGATTTTTTTCAATCTTCTCAAGCATCGTACTCACTGATGTTGCTAGCTATAAAAACTTAGTGGAGCACAGATGTAGAGAGATTCAAAGCTCTCAGCAATTAATTTAGTTATTAAACAAATGTTTTCTTCAGGGTGTCTTAATCTTTCGTTTTCTTGCGTTGAGGGTGAAAGTCTGCTGATGGCATTAAAAAATGTAGCCCTTTCATCAGGAAGCGCGTGCACGAGTGCATCGCTTGAACCTTCTTATGTCCTTCGAGCTATAGGAGCAGAAGAGGATCTAGCACATTCTAGCATCAGATTTGGGATCGGAAGGTTTACCACTGAAAAGGTCTATTTGATCATGAAATCTTATAAGTTTTATGACTATTTGTACAAAAAGGTACAAGTTCCAAATTGTAGTTTTTCCATGCAAAAAACTGTTTAGGAAATTGATTATACTGCTGACGTCTGTATCAAGGAAGTGAATCGACTTCGAGACATGAGTCCTTTATGGGAAATGGTACAGGAGGGCATTGATTTGAAAAGTATAGAATGGAGCCAACATTGACTGCTCTTTTCTTAATGTATATGAAAATATGTTCATTGATGTACTTAAGTTGCACATTTGTCTATACAGAATAAATCTGTACAAATATATATTTTTTCGAGATCCATAGTGATATTTTGTCCTGTGTTCTCTTAAAAACTGGATATAAATTACTACAATAGTTGTGACCTTTGCCAACCTCACATATGAAATGGACTTTTGCAAATTCAAAAGAACTAGCTAGTAATCCTTTAGATCTTTTTATCTGCGAAATTCGTACAATTTAGTTAATCCATTCAAACAACAAAGTCCTTGTCACTCAGCGCTTGTAGATGCGAAATAAATTCTTTTAAAACCAAAACTTAGTAGAGTTACCGGAAGGACATTGACACATTTTATTATTTTAAGAAAACAATGTAACACGGGAAAACGCGAGTTAATGTCAACCGGTTCTAAAAAAATACATGGATGAGTGAGAGTATATACTAATGCTGCAAGTTAAATCACAGTTATGGATGAACCGTATGATAAAATCAAGACCACCCTTTTGGCTGATATGGTTGATGATAAGCGAGGAAATGGAAACAAAATTTGCAGATTTCACCGGTTGTTAGCAGCAAAACAACCAGCCGCAACTGCAGTACAATAAAAAGTTACTGCTGATTGTAATTGTTAAGGTTAACAGATAATTACAAAGTAAATTCGACATGCGATGTACACACCGGAATAATTACATGGATAATTCAAGCTTCGTGGAGCTTTTGCAACCGGTGATTTATGAGAACTAGAGAAAGTAAATCTTACTAATATAAGCTACAGTAGTAAAATACCCCATGAAAAATGAATCATCATAATCATGAAGGAACGAGTAATGGTAGTGAAAACCCTCAAATAGACAATTCAAAAATTGAGCTATTTCATCTCATTGCAACAAACTGAAATGCATGAAAAAAAATCCATTTTACAGAATAACAATAACGAAAAGTTTGGGTCCTTTTTCTAAAACTCACATCACTTGAGGCGTTGAGTAATAGATGCAAGAGCAACAGCGAATGCTTGTACAGCACTGAATGGCGCACGAAAATCAAGTGTATACGCACCGTTCTCAATACGTCCAAATTGCATCACCTGTCTCTCACCATATTCGATCTGGAAATTCTTTGCTGATTCTTGAGTTACACGACCTCCAAAATCGAGCTGCAATATTTAATTCAGTGACCTTTACAATTTTCGTGAGGCTACAACAACTGTTACGGTTCTAAATCATCTATTTTAATGCCTAATAAGACAATGAAACGAAGATTAAAGGTAAGAGTAGAATAACATAATTCGATAGATAAGATAAAAAGAAAGAATTTACGTGCATACACACTTCTGAATCAATCTGATCAACGCGGCCAAAAGATAAAGCCGCGAATAACTAAACAGATACAAATCAGGAAACAGACAAAAAGTGCTCATGAAAAACATCAAAAGTTAATAGTACTAAAAGTTCAGCATCACTACTATAGCTGACATGCAACTCAAACTATACAGTACAGCATATGAAATAAAATACTTTATTTGCTAATAATAAAAACTCATGTTTTTTATCTCACTCTAATAATTTTCTAATGACAATTAATGAACATAATTTAAATGATAGTAATGATGGTCAAATTCAAAATGATATTTGAATTCAAATAGTATATTACACATCACAAGCAAAAACAAATACTTAGCATTTTTTCGATGCGAGTCAATGCATCGCACTTGATTTTACTGGACACATTCCTTTTGCAGCCATTATTCCTATTTTTTCTAGTATTTCACACATAGTTACGAATGTACCTGATAAACTTGACTAGCTTCATTCCAGAATGGAGCTTTATTGTTCATAGTAAGGAATGAAATCGTTTCATCACTTAATGAAGGCCGTTCACCAAGTACTGTTTTAATGTGCTGTATCCTCTGCTGTAGATCACCGCATACTTCATCAAGTAATTCATCCCCTGAAACCAATGAACTCTATCTGCTAGAGTTTTAAAATCTATATCGTCATTAAGAGCATCAAGAAATTCTCATTAAAATCAGTTTTGCTATGTGATATCTTGTCTTGAAGATTTGCAATATACCATATGTAATCTTCTTCTCGATTTGAGAAACTTTTTTGGAAATATCTTTCAACTGCGATCTCAATGAAGATACCGTTGCATAACTCTCCATCATCGGAATCTAAATCTTGAAGAGATATACACATCTTAAGAATGCATATCGCTAAGGATTCCGTCAATTTCGTTCATTTTTTGTTAAGTGCAATTGTGCCCCAGTAAAAACGAAAAAATTGCGAAAGATATAAGTTCTCAGGAGGTAAATATTTTCTTTAAAATTTTACAGTACATTTTCAGCTCTGACTGAGGTTTTTTACAAGAGAAAAGCTTGAACTTACAAATAATTTTTTCTTCACTGACAAATTATTTCTGTCTTACATGTTTATTTATTAATACTTACATGTGCACAGCGACGAGGTATAGCGTGTAAATCCATTACAGTTAAACTTCTTTCATTACTCAATTGTCCTACAGCACAGCGTGTAGTCAGATCACTTGCTAACTTTGCTAATTTATCCAGAACTGATGTTATATCATTTAACTGCCTTACGCCTGGTGCTGTAAATACGCTATTCAAATCTTTATGCCAAAATATCAATTGTATTAAAAAGAAAAAATCGTAGTAAAAAGAATGACACCATATAACTGTTCTTCAGTAAATTTACAAGACAAGGTACAGAAAGCATGTGAAAATTAACACTAAAAGATCGTACTTTTACGATAGGTTTCGTTGGTTCTGAAATATTCAATCAACGGACTACGTTCAGTGGCGTTGCGTATGATAACGGCATCATCTTCGTCAATATACTGAAGATGGTTCTGCGTATGAATTCAAGATAAAACAGTAAACTGTTGCTATATATAGTCACTTTTTACAATATAAGTACTTAAGCAAACAATATTGATAAAAGTGATAAAGATATCAGTAGAAAAAATTATAGAACTACTCTTTATATCACTCATTGAATCATCTATTTTGATCGTTACCATTTACCATTTTTAGTGTCCTCAAGTCAATTCTTGACCTTCTGAGCTCCAAACACTTAAAACCTGTACTGTCGACTTTTTATTCTATCTCTTGCAAAAAATGCTTTCAAGTCTCAAAAAATAAAAATTCTCACAACTTAGCTTTGAACACAAACTCATTTAAAAAAATAAGAATAGAAAAAAAAAGTGACTTCAATATCATCATACTGCTGTGACCAATTAGTACTAGATGTAGAAGGCCCAAGATGACTGAGCTCATTCATTTGTGTTCGGCCACTAGCACCAATCACACATTCCTCCTTTGAAAGTGCTTTTGTTGACACTTTAGGAGTACATTTCAATATATTGGTTGTAGGAATAATACTGGTACCGAACGAATCTAACTTTTGCGAAGACCTTTCAAGATCATGAGCAAAACATTTCATCCTAGCTATATGTTTCTCTACTGCGGCCCTTAGATCATTGAATTCTGACAGGATGCTCTACAATGAATATAAAACTAATAGAAATCAGCATTTCATAATTCGAACGATAGCATCACTTCATGACTCACTAAAAATAACGATAATGAAAAAAAAAGTTTCGAAATACTTGAAATAGTATCTTCTCTTCTACTGATAATGGTTCTTCAGTTGATTCATCGATCAGAAGTTCTTCATCAACTAATATATTACGTCTCCTAATTAGATTCTCCCTAAAATGATAGAAAATTTTTCAAAACAATACTACCATTCAGAGTACCGAAAAACTACAGAGCAATTACCTGAGTTCATATCAATTTCTTTACTTTGCCTTAACTGGCTTATGTTCATGAATGCTACATAATACGTACCTATCACTTGGAACGATGACAACATTGCAAATACTGTTTCCAGCTGAAAAACCGTAGTCGTTACTTAATTGCGTACCAGCTCTGGAACGAGCTGGTGATGAACGGTGAGCCGTAGTCCGAAAACCAGTAGATTTCTTAGTCAGATCAGCTAACTGTATAGTCATTTGACGAGGTTGCAAATGAAGAACTGATGTCTTGTAAACAACCTAAAATTACAATTTTATCTAAACCTATATTTTTTTTCTTCATAAAAATTGCCACAGAACTTTACATATATTAAATTAATTGCTCATAAAACTTCTAATGAAAGGATGTTTCCAAAATGTACGAACTTGAGCAAGAAAAGGAGGAAGAATATTTGTAGCGATTGATATCATTTTAAATCGAGTGCACCATACATTCGAATTGATCTGAAAAATTCAAAGATAATTTGAACTACGATTTTAAAACATTCAAATAAAAAATGTTACCTGCACTAACTTATCTGTACTTCTGTTTGTAGCACGAGCAACATGACGATTCATAAGAACTCTTAACTGCCGCTTACTTCTCCTCCAAACAGAATTACGCTGCGTAGACGGTCGAACAAATGCTCCTACATCTTCTGAAAAAAAATTATGCTAATGGCTTTCTGAGGCTGATTTTTAGTATTATAAGAGAAAGTCATTTAATCCTAATAAATAATTTATTTTTTAAGCAATCTGAAAAAAATTCGTAACTTCCGTAAACCAAATTTGAATTTGAATATTTATCTGCCAAATTTTTTCAATAAGTTTAGGATTTCAGTGGAAATCTGAATAAAAATTAAACTTAACATTTTCATAAAAAGCATTTACAGCTCACCAACTTGTGCGGAGCCTCCATTATCTGGTGCTACCACTGTCGACCTAGAATTATAGAGGGAAATTTGGAACTGTGGAATGATTCTATTCGTTTGCTTCCCAATTAAAACAGGAATCAGTCCTGCCATATGCTCCATGCATAACATATAAGTATGAATTTTACTCGGTATTGGTCTTATTGTACAGTACCATCGCCAGTCTGATGGTTCACACACCCTAGTCAACAGGTCAGATTTTGCTGGCATACGACACTGTAAGTTGGCTAACACTGCAAAGACTAGAAAGCAATCTGAATAAAACATTTTTGGTTTTCAGAGTCACGAAATTCTTTAAGGTATAAATTAAAACGAATAGGAATTGCATCAACGGAATAAGTGTGAATAAATTCAGTAGAAAAGTTCTAAAATCGGAGACAACTACTAACTTTTATTAAATGATGATCCAAACTACGAATTGCGCTCCGTTCATGTGATGGTAATGGAAGCTTATCAACATGCTGTGCAGATGAACCCATGAGCTGCCAAACTTTGTAGGTAACTAAATTGAACAGCGTAGGAACATCATGCAAAACTCGTCCAACAGCCAGATAATTACCTAAATTAGAAATCTAGAGCAACAGTTATGTAACAGCTAATGAAAACATAAGCCAGGTACTTATAAACCTTACAAGTTCGACTCTTTTTACTACGGCAAAAGCAAATTGAAGAATTAAATGATAAGCTAATCTCAGTGAACCCAACATTACAATAAGAAAATTAAAAACTTTAAGCAAGATCAACAATTTATATAAACATGCATGGAAATACTTGATGTGGCAATAATGAAGCGGTCATCATGAGCCCATGTGAACGCATTTAGACCAGTGATAGAAGGTTGCAAAATATGACTGTCACAAACAATATTTCCTTGATATGTTATGAAGAAAAAATGATTTCCCTTACAAACAGCAGCTAGCAGAGTTCCATTAGCATTCCACTGAATGCTTACAAGAGGTTCATTACACTGCCATTTAACATAATTAATCTGAAAATTAAAAAAATCGTGTAATTTACTACAACACTGAATCCGAAATGTTTCGTTTTTAGACAAAAAATTAAGGCAATAACTTTACATTTAATAAGTTCATGTAACCTTCACCAAAACTAATTAAACCATTTGTTTTGCTTATAACGACGTTTTGCTTATATCGATAATCACCTACAATCGAATAATAATCTGTCAACGGCAAGGAGCATAAAGTACATCTACTTAGAATTCTTATATTTTGCTGTCAAGAAATTAAATATTTGTTACTTATGGATATATTTACTTTGAAGAGTCAGTAAAATCAAACCTCATCATATGAATTCAAGAAATTAATAAGACCCGTTAAAGAACAGACAGCTAAGGTCCATCTACCATTACTACGTAAAGATGAAGCAGCCAAAAACCGAACACTTCCATTTGCAAACATTTCTCTTTCTGTGATTGTAGCACCTTAAAAAAATTACTTTGAAACTTGGTTAACATATAGTTTTCAGGCGACTAATAACTGACTATAAACAAAGAAATCATGCAAATATTATCGACTGAAAAATAACCTTGCTCATTCAACACCTGGATAGTGCCATTATTAAATCCTAAAATGATTTCATGTGAATCAGGGGTCCAAATACCGCAATTAACAGTAGTAGCAAATGAGCTCGACCAGATTCGTTGACCCGTAGCTGAACCAATTAAAACAAAATTATCTTCATAACAAATCAATGCTGATGATCCATTAGGACTCCAATTTACACCACGGACCTAAAACTAGACTTGAAATGATGGAATTTGTAGAGCGAATAACATCTTACTAATAAAGCAAAGATTTGTAAAAAAAAAAAGGAACATTACTTTTATGCCCCTATCATTGACTAACTCCACGCTCCAACGTTCATCGTTAAGAACCCAAACATAAATGATTCCAGAATTATCGCAGCTAGCTAATTTCATGTGCTCTTTATTCCATGCCACTATATTTACTGTACTGTGATGACCACGTAAATTGAAATTTATTCTTTTATTATCATCTCGTAACATACAAATTTCCGTGGCCGTAACTCCAACTGCTCCTGATTCTGAGCCTGAAAAGTAATTTAACGATAAACTTACAAAAACATGACCATCTTAATAAAAATAAATAAACAAACGAGTTGTTACATAAGCAAACACAGTAATAACAACCCAGTAAGAACTCACAACTACTTGTAATCTAACCGAATGTTCACCATTTTTAAAATGATTGTGAAAATGCATTATGCTTAGGGTTATAATTGCAAGACACATACTAATTAATAAAGCTACTAATTCGAACTTTTTTCATATTTACGGCTCAAAAGGACTAACCAGTAGCCAGGAGGCCAGTATCTTCATCACTGCCATTAGGTATCCAATTCAAACAAGTTATCCCAGAATCAACAACGCAACCAGGCCAATCGTTACTTTCCCAAATGATCTTCATGCACAGTGCCTGCGCCTATGAACTATTTTTTTTGCTAGCTGTCCTGAAGCACATCATCAATTCTACTTACAACAATTTTATCACACGTACTTGGAAGCTAACAAAAGATTTTGTTAATAACATCAAATAGCATTTCCGGTCAACTGTCACGATTCACAATACACTATTCAATAAATTCAATTAAGCGCAATTTGATGCAGAAATAAGCAAAGAGAATAATACATAACAAAAATAGAAGGAAAATGCAAAATAATCGAAACGAAAAACGAATTATTAGCTCCGACAAAGAACTAAGCAACTTGTTAAGTTGTCCCTGCTGACAGCCCGCAGCCGTCAGCAGAGAAGCGCAATGAAAATGTATCAAGCATATTAGTATTTAATGCTTAAATATTAATCTCGAAGAGAGAAGTAAACAAATAAACACATATAATACTTTCCGCCTACATATCTGAGTAAGTAAAACTTTAGTGAATAATTAGAAGACATTTCTGCAGTTAAAAATACGTGAAGATCAATGCTGATATCAAATGATCGTTGCGTTATTGAGTGAGACATTAAATCACTCACACTGAAGCGTGAATGTATGCATGCGTGAGTTGTGGATAAAATGTAATTAACAATTTCGTTAGAAAAAAAGTTGAAAGGTTGAAGGTCATTCGTTGATGTTGAACAGTATTTAATCAAAATGAGGACTCGGAAAGAAAACTTAATCAACCTCAACATTGAATTTTAAATTCTGCTCTTACTATTTTTGCCATCGAAAATAAATAAACCAGAACTTATACCAAATATTATTATATTAAAAAACTCACACATGAATATCACTGTAAAGTTTACTACATATGCTTGAAGTAACATTCAGCACATTGTCGTTTAGAATATAAATCTAATAAATTGTCGGATTTTTGAAATTGATTACGCATTACAGATGATATATTGTTCCAATTTGCTCAGAATTGAAGAAGTTTTAGTACGAAAAAGAGAGTTGACAGATTAGATAGATAGATGGATAGATAGATAGATAGATAGATAGATAGACAGATAGATGTGGATAGATGGATAGATGGATCGAAAGTGTAAACTCCTCCAAACTTGTTTGACTATTAGTCAAATGTAATCTAAAAAATTCTTGTTCCCTCTAATCTGTTTTGCATTGCTTGTATTATAAATATTACTTTTACTTTCAATATTACTATTAAGGTATAAGTATAAAAATAGTGGTTAGAAGTAGCACAGTGGAATCATATGGCACGTTGAACATTTGTAATATTAAATCAATGATAAAAAACGAATATAGAGAATAAAATATTGATACAATTAAAGAATTAGTTTTATTAATATATTAGAATATTAATTTCATTAAGTCCATAGCACAAGTGAAACTAGTTTTTGTTAATATATGCAAATACAAAATATCAAACACTGACCTCTCCTTAAGTAACGGTAAGTTCAGTACTGACATGTAAGTGCATTTGACTAATTACAGTTTTATTTGAAATTCTTAACGATGATTTTTCAAATAATTCAAGAATAAATATATTAAGTTACATGACGTCTTTAAGCTAGAATAATTACGTTTCGTGAAAGTTATACTTCTTTACGTCGCATTTATAAGAGGGCGCAAATACACATCACATAAATACTTACAGGCAATAATGTAAAGCTAACATTTTTTAGTAAAGTGAAATGTTCTTATTATTATCCCAAATATAAATAGAAATTAAAACGAAGCAATAAATTAAAAAACATTTACTTGAAATGAAAAGTATCAGTTGTAAAGCAAATATAAAACTACCCATGCTAGTGAATGACACCAAGTACTAATAATAAAATTATTCCCACTCAAAATCAAGCATAAACATGAGACTTTAGCAAGCACACTATTAACACGGCACGACGGTGGCGATTGTAATTCCTAAACTGTCATTAACAAACTTGTTTGGATAAAATGCAAAGTGCACTCTTTTAGAAAAGTAACTGAGAAATACTTTTGCAGAGAATAAAGTATGAAAATTGAAGTTTACTTCGTCGATATTTTACAAAATATCTATCCTAGAGCACACAATTCCAAGATTAATTCAGAAATGCTTGCCATCAATAACAAAATATTTATTTTTATTAAAAACCAAAAGGTCAACGTTATTTCAAGACTGCATTATTAGATTAGCACAATTGGCAGTATCTGTAATGGCTAGATTTATTGGCGTATTTATGCGTAGAAATTCAACAACATTCATACATCATTCACAGTGCACACAAAAATGTGAAGATTTTGCGACCAGCTTATTTCTTGCATTGAACTGACTTTAGCAATAAAGAAAGAGCGCTTATTCCGCTCTTTCTTTATTGCTAAAGTCAGTTCTAATATACACTCAAAAACTCGCTAACGCTTGTTTAGTAAAAAAGAATAAGATTGCTTCCAGAAGTCAATAAAATTTATGAAGCAGAAGTTCCACGAGCCATAGAAATGAACCAAACAGAATTAAGCGACAGAACCCAAACTGAACTGACTCATTTAAGCGTTTTAAATATGTAAGTAATAACCCAATCAAGTGTTGAGTGAGATTACGACACTCCCGAAATAGCACTGGCTGCCTCCTTCTAAGATATTGATATAACTGACGTATTCGGAATATCTGTCTCAATCTGCATTATAACACTGAAGCTCAAACTAAAAAGACGAGTGCATCTATTAGAATGAATAAATTAACGGGACTCATAAGGGAATACGTAAAATAACTGGTGAATCTCAATAACTACAGATGACCACATGGATTTGTACCTGCGACAAATCTTACAAGTGTCTGTCTTATCAACTTTCGATGGTAGTAATGCAATCTTCTACATACTCTTCTACAGCTTTCTTTTTCACATCAGTTAATCACGGAAATTGCACAATATTTACTGCACATACAACTGACGAACACATTAACTTATTTGATACGAATATGGTAACCTATCAATAAAATCAAAAAGATTAATGAAGTAAAAACTCAACACATCCAATATATCAAGTATATAAAATTAATAACGCATAACTCTATTAAGAATAGACCTTTGCAATAATCAACACTCAACTGTACACAGTACATCTGAATTATGAGTAAATTATAACAAAGATTCAGACTTGACACTACTGATAGGCTAGAAGAAATTATAAGAAATACTCTTCTTCAAACATCTTGAATGAAGAGAATTGGTCGAACATTTCTGTTGAACAGTAAATATTAAAACATAACCCCTATGCAACAGATCTCTATGACTAAAGTCACACTTTAATTTTCAATTCCTGCAACTCTTCAAAATGAATTTATCACTTTCTTAAATATGGATTTTACGTCCAAATATTTTGAAGTGTTCGACTTTCAAAAGATAAAAAAAAAAAACTAACATTCCAGAGCAACAAAATCAAAAAATATTGAAGCAGAATTGCTCGACAACACTAATAAAGCTAAAATAAGTTTTGTTCCTTACTTATCTTACAACAAGAGAATTAGTTACAAAATTATGAATCTGGAACTTAGCGCCTACAAACCGTACACCAAAAAATTTTCACAAAAAAATCAAAATCTCTCAATAACTTTATGATCTCTTCAGTAAACAATTTATCAAATTTAGAAATACATGAATATATCATGTGACAAGAAAAAAAAAATGTACATTTACGTTTCTCACGAAAGCTGTGACTTAAAACAAATATTGTACAATCAAAACTGATTCATAATTTATTAATATCGTCCGCCTTGCAGTGTCTGGTTAACAGCATGTGTCGTGGCAGCTGTTGCTGCTGCTTTAGCTGCTCCCGATACAGCCTAAAATTAATTAAATAAAAATCACAAAGGAAATAATGAGTACAAGAAGTTATTTTCTTCCCACTTTACCATCAATATCCTTGAAAAAAAGGACTTCGTTTGAAAAATTTACTCATTACTTATGCAATATCAAAACACAGATATACTAGTAGTTGAAATTATAAAAAGAAACGAGGAAAAAAATAGCTTATTTCTAATTTTTATTTAACCCTTTTTTTGTGAAAAAAATTGAAAAAGTTGACAAGTGAATAAGAAAAAGTCGTTCATGGCGAAAAACCTAAAATTTGATCTATCACCAATTATTAAATATAGAAAGGAATATTTCATTTTTGCACTTGATAAAAAGAAAATACTACCATATTTATTGAGTGTAATTAAGAGCCAACTGCAATCGGTTCAACAATGATGATTGCAGCTTTATTTATATCAATTATCACTATTTTAAAAAATCAATCACATGCCTGCCGAACATTGCGATCGGCCATAACACCGTCCGAAAATTCTTTGCATGCCTTATCCAAGCTAAAACCAGCACCGCGATAATAGCGATGTACTCTAATTAGGGCGAAAACCATTCCCACAAATGATCCCGTGAATGCGATTGCCGAAATAATCATTAGAAATGACGCGAAAATGCTCTGACTGAAATAAAATTTCATTATTTGGACATAGTTCAATACCATAACAATATAATATATCGTACCACATGAAAAAAAAATCAAAATATATGAAAAAATATTTTAAATAGCAATGAAAATTTTTCATGATCACACACGGAAACATTAGTTTTCATAGAAACTTACTTAAATGTGTTAATACCATTAATCCAACCGCAAGCATATTGAGAAACGCCAAGAGCCTGTACGAGTGTGAACAGTGAATGAAAGAACAGGACAAAAAAGAAGATCATGAAATTGAATGAACTGTCATTCCTGAAATTAAACGAGATTTGTGAACACAGGTGTTGAAATCCTTTCTTATTATCTGCAGCAATAATTTAGAATACTCCTACTATGTAATTTAAAAAAATAATCTGCATTTTGGTTCTAGCGATAGCAATAAGTATACGTTATGATCAAATTAAATTGTTTTTAAAATTGCGAAATTATAATTAGTTTAAATTGTAGAATAAAATTCTCTCTCTAAATCTAATGTATAGTTTGTCGAAACATAACCTGAATGCCTTATACACTGGGCGGAACCAGAATAGAAACGAGCAAGACGAAAGCAGCAAAATCTGTATGATCGCTAGAATCAATATGCCGATAGGCCCACTACCAAAAATAACGTAAAAAAAGGAAGCAAGAACGTTGATCGCCAAAGCAAGCGTATAACACAAAAAAACGTAATAAACTAAAGTAACTGTGCGTTGAAATTGTACAGGAATCTCCACTTCAATATCCTGAAACAAAGAAATAAATGCTGAACGTTGCATTTTAATACTCATTCACAAAATGATGAAATTAATCGAGGGAGAAGGTGAGAATTATGATTTGATAGACAATAGCATTTGCGAAGTTTAAAAAATTTCTATTACATGCGATTAAAAACATAGGTAAAGACATGACATTCATACACACGTTTGGAGAAGAAAGGTAAAGAAATTATTAGGAATGACGGAAAAAGGTTGATGATCAATTCAACCATAGTGCATTACATGGATTAAGCAGATTTGATAAGTTTTGCTCCCATTAAAAATATTTTTTAAATATTTCTCTAGAACTATGAAATGTTTTATGAAAAATACACAATTAAGACCTGATAAAAACATGGCTGAATTGGAATAAATGATGGAATTGGTGGCCAGTTATGGGGTCGCGCATCTCCTGCGGACCCACTGCGACCAGTTCTTTGCTGTCGCTCCAATTCTTGTTCTCTCCGTCGCAATTCTTGGGCTTTTCGCTCCAGTTCTTCTTGACGTCGAAATAGCTCATCGTTACTTAAGACAGGATTCACTGCTGGCGCTGGAGCTACTGCAGGCTAGAACACAAATATACTGTGAAGATATGATATAAAACAAATTTTTGGCATCCGAAATACCTATCTAAATCGCTACAATCATGAATTTTCATCTAGAGCAATTTTGCATCGTTTATTGAATTTAACTTATAATGCACTTTGTGTCTATTCCATTAAAATTACAAATATGTTGATTTTTAATGATAGTGAGCAAAGGAATTGAAAAAAAAAAATTGAAAAATCGAAAGATCATTTACATTTCTTTTTGTTCTATGATTTAAAAATCTTCCAAAAATTTTAAATGTTTTAAATTTTGATACAATACTTATTTGATTATGAAATAAACAATATCAACAGCATAGATTCATTTTTTGAAGTTTTTAGGTTCCCGACGATGTTTGACCACATAAAAATAGTATTTCAAGTTCAATTCATGCAATTTTGAATAAATTGGATACTTATTTTTTTATGACAGAAATTTTACTTTTGAGGAAGGTCGCGGAGGTGCTTGCTCAACCTGTGCAAACGGATTAATATCTTCATTAGCGTTCGTTTCATTTCGAATAACTTCCTGCACACTAGGATCCTGAACATCATAAACTTCAATACTTATACCGCTGGAGTTTTTCCATCAGATTAAGCAGCAAAGCTGACATAAAACTTTGGAATATCCTTTAAAAAATCTAATCGAGTAATAATCAATAATGTGTGGCAAAATGCAATTATTCCTGAACACATCATATATCACACACTCAAAAATGCTTTCTTACATTTATGCCACAATATATCAATCAAAAACAGTACTTATCATAAACCACTTTAATCGTTGTCAAAGAATCGGTCAAATAATATTAGTTGATTTTAGGCGCATTAAAGGACTGACAGTAACGTTATTTTTGCGAAACAGTTTTTTAAAGTTGAAGGCAATAAAAAAATAATTAGAGATAACCGTGAAAGGGTCCGCGAAAGGATCCGCGAATGGATTGGAATTCAGACCCGCCATTGACTGCTTCTGCACACTTCTCTTATCTTCTGACAAAATATCGAATTCTGATAATTACGCCTTAATAACAAAGATCTATAAATTAACATAAAATGTGATAAAAACACATAATGTGCAAATTTTTTATACAAATTAAAAAACAAACAGATTCTACTTCGAAAGTGGTTGAAAAATTCTAAGACCACAGCAAAAGTCTCATACACACAACAAGCATGCACACGCCACATCGAGTACATCATGATTGTTATCTTCTACTCACACGTCTCAACCGTAAATATTTGCAGTACGTAGATGCATCTACTTTGACGCGATATGCAAATTTTTGTGTCAGTCTCATTTTATCATAAAATAAATATTAATTTAAAATTATTCTATTTTAGGGGTAATGCTGTTAAAGTTTTAGTAAAGTTCTCGTAAGATTATCGTTTTGCATCTTTAAAATGACGTTATGAGTTTTCAAAGTAACAGTACAATTATAAAAGTAACTTTTCAATTTGTGCCTGCGATAGGTAAAAATAGTGCACACATAATAAAATATCGCAGTGTACTAAAATGCTTATTAAAATGTAAAGATCTACAAAAATAAGGTCAGAAATATCACAAGACTGATTTGTTAAGAAGTAGTACTTGTGTAACATAAGTTACATGCATATGACGTGAATGGTTTTTGCATATCAACCATAAATTTTCACGCTTTTTTATTTTCAATATTTTGTAATCACATCAAGTAATTTATAAAATTTAAATAATTTGTTGTATTCAACTGTTTACTACTTAGAAAACTTCGCTTCATTCAAATCCATTTCGGATATTGCTGATCAGCCGAGATGTGATCAGAACTTAGATGATCACTTTTTATAACTATCATACTTATAGCCAACATAATACTGCACATATTATATACTAAATTTCACTTTTGTATATATCGAAGTGTACAACATTATAGCAATCAAAGTTAATGTGAGGTTGAAGGTCAAATTAAAGCTTTTTCATTATGTGCAGTTCAATCTAATAAACTTACATCAATAAAAATTTTGTCGCTTTGTCGTCAGCAATGTGAGAAAAGATTAAAATTTGTTCATGCAAATTTTTGCAATTTTTCATAAACAAAAATGTATAAAAATATAAGCATTTTCTTGTAATTATTTCAGTATTACTTTCAGCTAATACTTTAACATTTATTGAGCTTAGCGATTTGCTTTAAAGTGTGGACTTTTTTTGAAGATAAATTTGCAAGCAATATAATCAACGCAACATTTTATTTTCTGTCATGCCAGCAGTTACAATCTGTACGTAATGACCTCACGCTTACTCATTTGATCATATTTAATCCTAACAAAGTAAAGCTAATTAGCATTGATCAAAGTGTGCGATTGAACTTTTTTCTAAATAATTGTTATCACTTTAAGAGATATCAAAATGAGAAAAAAAAAATTGGGGGTGTACATTTAAATGAAATGTTAAATGGTGTTTTTATAAGATGATATTTTTAAATAATTTTCCTTTATACTACAAATATAATAACACAAAGTATTGAATGAAATATGACATGACTTCTTTATTTACGTGTACGAGTGTACTTATACGCTGAGCCTTAAATTTTTACGTGATCGTTTTATTTCTCCCAAATTTATCAATAGAAATAATCTGGAACTTCATCCATATCTCTCTTCCCGAACTGAAGTGGTCGAAAACTCTTCTTGCCAAATTGCAGTGGCCGATGTCCATCTCGTTTACCGAACTAGAAATACATTTGAATTAGAAATTACAGTATGCTAATCAAGTGTTTCTTTCTCCTTTAACTTGAAAACGGAATAAAGAGAACGCGATTTGCTTAGAAATTTGCTTTTTCAATTTTTCAAGTTTAGTTTAGATCCATTTGATTTTTTCAAGATTAATTTATGAAAATTTACCCTTCGATTTACAGAATACAGTAATTCTTGTATAAAATTGTAGCTTAATGAATCAGTATACTATGATTGCCCAAATGCATATCTCAAAAGTTATTGCTGCATAATGCGTGGAATATTGCTGAATAATTTAAAAAAGTAATTATAATTAATTAAATAATTATAATCAATTATTATTTAAATAAATTATATTTGCAATCCATTTTTATTATAAATTCACTCTCGTGTAAGATATATTTTCTCGAAAGTTTTTCCGAAATTTGAAAAATAAAAAAAAAACGTATTTTTTTGCTATCGTCTCCATTACCCTAAGACCTCAACTTGTTTCTACTTTATTGATGGTTTTGTATAATATCTTGAATGAATTTTTCATAAAATAATGCCTTTGCAATGATTTATTCATATTATTGATTGTATGACTACATATAGATCAATAATTCTTGAATTTTTAACATAGATAATATATTCAAGAGATTCAAAGATAACAAGTTGAGATTATTATAATGTAAGTGATGAATATCCTTGATGCATAATGATGCAAGTAGCTCATGTTCTTAAGTGGCGCAAAATTATGCAAATTTTGACTAGAAGATTTTTGAAAACTAATATGGTTATAGAATTATTAAAATATTTGTCATAGTTATTATAGACACAATGTTAGCATTGACTTTATTTGTTTATTTATTTATATAGCAAAAGTTTATATTGTAAAATTTTTTGATTAAAATTTGCTTGTTTGATTTAATTTCTACAATTGTTTTTGTGTTTAGTTAGTTTGCTTTTGAATTTTTTCTCTAAGAATATAATGCAAACATTCAGAATCCTTTTAAATTTGAAAATTTGAATGCATTATATAACAAAATTAGCTGAAAGAAATTGCACTGTTCCATTTGTTGGAGGGCAAATAATTTATTCGTATTGTATTCAATTTTATTCTCGAAAAATATAAAAGCAATGCAGTGAGCAAAATAAACTTTGCTGACATTACTCGAAGAAGACTACCAAAAGTTTATTGCTTCAAAGAAATAAAATTGTCTATAAAATAAAATAATAATTTTAAAAACTTGCGTGATTTGGTGATTTTTTTGAAAACATTTTTAAATTTTTAATATTCTTCATTAGATTTGAAAATAATGCAGTAAAATAAATTAAAAATGACAACAGAAATAAGAAAAGAGCCATATTTTGTAAAATATTTAATTGAATAATAATTCATTTTAATAAAATAAAATTTAATTAAATGTTAATAATACAAAATTTAATTGAATAATAATATAATTCATTTTAATAAAATAAAATTAAATTAAATGATAATGTATTTTAATAATACAAAATTTAATTGAATAATAATATATTTTAATAATACAAAATTTAATTGAGTAATATAAAAATGTTGCTTTCTATTTGACAAACTTTTTTATTAACAAAACAGTATTATTTAAAGTAAAATAATTATAAACTATGATAAGAGCATTTAGCTAAAGCTAACCTGTAATGGCCGATACTCTCTATCTTCCCTCGCAAATTGAGCAGTTTGCATGTTACAGTAAACCAGATGACTGATTAAACCGAGAATCAGAAGTAGTGAAGCGATCCAACAACGAAGCATTTCTTCTAAGACAAAATGTTTGCAGTATAAAATGATATTCACCTGATAAACTGTAAAAATTATTTTGACTGTTTTACTTTGACTTAGTGTATTAACTTATTATTGTGTTGCTCTCTCCTAATATAATTACTTCACTTGCTTGCATTCTTAACTAATTTAAGAACTCAAACACTAAGCAGTGCGACATTTGTCCAAGAAGACTGATTGCTACACTGTAAAAGCTATCATAGCAATCGTGGAACCAGCTGATAGTTAAATGAATGCATTTTAAGAGTCTCTCGAGAACTAAGTTCGTTAGACCTGGAAAGCTTAGTTCAGCTAGTCTTAGTATCCCAGATAGTATTGGTGGTGTGAAATGGAAGCAGACAAGAAAACTTTTTCAAAGAAATATCAACTAAGCTGCATATGCTAATTGAAAGCTTCGTTAATCTGATTGACGCCCACGCAAGTTCAATATTATCTAAAGTAATAAAAATAATACTTATACACAAATACACTTAAATATACTTTTTGCTTGCTAGCTGTTTTTAACCCAAGTGTAAGTTGCGGTGAAGCAAAAGTGAAGTCATTTTTTAAATGAATTCACTTCTAAACTAATTGTAATTTATTTTTACTAATCCAAAAATAACCACATGAATAGCACTTACTACTTAAAACTCACCTCTTTTACATTTCTACAAATTTTATTCACCAATAAGATGTATTTATTTGTCATTCATTAAATACAATCATTTCTACATAAATCACCTTCATCGTTTTATCTTAAATTTTATCAACTACAATTTACAGTTTTTGAATAACATTTCAATCAAGTACGGTAAAAAGGTCAAGATTAGTTTGTAGAGCAGTCTTTAAAAAGGGTTAATTAGTTAATTACAAAAGATGGAATCACTAATTATACAAAATGCAAATTCAAAATACTCAAACTGATTAATTCTGATAAACTTTCAGAATAGCCAAAGATAATTGCATACCACTACTAAACCAGTTTTGATTCAGTCTATGTGTTTGAATAGAATACCTAACTTTGTCTATTTTCAAACAATATATAAGTTCTTATTTGGGTGTATGACGTAACTTGAAATTCTGAATTTATTACAAAAAAAAGCTTAAATTTGCAAGACTAAAATATGGTTCAAATTAATCGAAAAATTGTTGCTTTCAGTTAATATCCTTTAACAACTTTCCTTTCCCATCTGATGATGCATTCATTAATAATCAAAGTTTTATTTGTTAATTCAAAACTTAATTTAAATTACTTTTTAACAAAATATATTTTTTAATTTCAATTTGTATTTTAAATACAAAATCAAACTATAGTTTTGTAATAACAGAAAAAAACAAAAAAAAAGTCAGCATATAATCTCTACTCACTTTTACAAGCAATGCATGCCATGATAGCTTTTATATTTGGATATAATAATAATATAGTGCAAGATAACATTTGCGTGGATTAAATTAATCATTCGAAATCTAATTAATCATGAAATTTGTTCAGATATATACAGACTGAAATAATTTTTTTTTCAACAAAAAGTAATCAAACGTACTTGACCAAATACTTTAATAGACAAACTTTCAGTGCTTTCATTTAATTTGTACGTTTTATTGTAAACAATAAAAATGATCGTTTCCGCACATTCACGAGTATAATTACTTTGTTGATAAATTTGAAAATGTGATAATAATTAACTTACTTTCAAGTTGGCTCTTAATAAATCATTCAAATGAAAAAGGAGTGATTTTTGAATGGATTAGACTGAAATTAATGAACTTTGCATATGTAAAATACAAAAATGCTTCGATTTAAAAAACAAATAATTTTTTGCAATCAAAAATAAATCGAATAGATTATTTTAGAATTCAATCAGATTTTGTATGCATGCAAATAGTTTGCTTTTTATGCAAAGAATTGAATTTTTATTTTTTTTCAGCAAATAGTAATATCCATTTTTAGAAATGATACTTCAATTTAAAAATTTCTTTAAGTTAAGAACTTTCAGCTGGCAAACTTTTATCCCTCACTAATAAAAGTGTGATAAAAAACCTTTTGACAAATAATGAACGATAAGTTTGAATTTAATAATAATTGAATTTAATAATTATATATATGTCAAATATTTTAATATTTCTAGCCACTCTATTATCCTGTACTAATATAGTAAAAAAAAATTTTTGATAAATAATGAAATATGTGTTTGTATTCACTGATAATTGTATTCATAAATACAAATATTTATTATTTTTTTTATTACTTTATTTAAAATTATGAATTAATATTTGCTTCTTTATTATCCATTTTCAGTCAGCAACAAGTACTTTAATATCAAATTTTGCAATGTAAGAAATTACAAAAATAGGTGCTCACTATTTATTGTCCGTATTATCTAAATAAATTGCAAAAAAATCGCCATCTAATTTGAATATGCTATTTTTAAATTAAATAGTTTGATCTTTTATTTTGATTAGGCTTTAGTTTAGATTTCAATTCATAATTATATGCAAAAAAAGGTTATAAAAGTGAAGTAAATTATATATATATATATATATAATCAGTATTGCTGTTATTCAGTACTATGCATGAGCTTTGAGTTTTACTTTGCTCTATTTGACATTTGCTTAAATGTCAATGAAAGCTACAAAAAGCTTTTCTTCAGAGATTTAATAATATATACAAAAGTAATAGCAATTCAGAAAATAGTTATTAAAAGAGGTAATTTAATTAGCTGGATGAGGCATTTCATTGGCGAGTTGATAGTTTTTTGAGATGAGTTTAGAAGGGAAATTGAAGGCTTTTATTTGAGTTATTTGATTAAATTTCAATTAAGCAATGAATATTTCAGTAAGTTATCAATCTATTCTTTGCTATGAATTGCATTTCAATGCATAATGTGTATAATAAATGTACTGCCAGAATTGTATCTACCAATGAATTTATTTTTCAGCTGAAATTTGTAATTATGTGAAATTAAAAATCTTCAAAAGATAATTTAAGCATAGTAGTTAAAGACTTCTGAGCAATCACGTACGTAAGACTAACTGACGTCAAACAATAATATTAATTACAAAGTAAATTGCTACTTATGTTTTATAGCTTATTTTATTGCTTACATCATATATCTTTGTTAAATTATGCATTAAATATTGGGAAATATTAATAATACAAAATTATTTATCAACTTAAACTGAAACCATTTACTGAATTTGTACTTTTTATGAAGAATTACAAATTTGAGATAAATAAGTACAAACAAAATTTGACCGAAATTAATTATAAACTGAATATTATTGGAATATATTTGCATTTTTGAAAATTACTTTTAATAATTACAACTTTGGTGCATTATTTTTAAGATAACTTTTGACGATATTCAAAATACTTTACTAGCTTTTATGAATCGTTTTTGTAAAATTTGCGTGATACTTACTTTATTGTTATTTAAGATTTCTACATTTTAATAAAGTTTGAGTAGTAATTAATTTATTTACACTACTATTATTACTTCAAATTTTATTTGAAGACTATCGTTTGCACTGTTTGATACTAAACTAAACAACTGGAAGTTAATAATAGCATTTTATCAGTAGAAAATCGAACGCAGTTGATTTCAATTTAATATTTGCACTGAGAATTATTAATTAATGTTTACAACTATATTTTTCTTCTACTCAGCTATTTTGGCATTCTTTCAAGTTGTAGGAATACACGTATTTTTCACGACAACGTATACTTTTTATTACTTTCATTTTTACTTGTTACTGTGAGAGACATTGTATTCAGAAATGAATAAATTGTATTCAAATAAAATACGATAATAATATTTTAATTCTAGCGGAAATTGAAGAAAAGTTATTATTCTTTCTGTGTTTAATGTTAAATAACTAAAAGTTATGGAAAAATCTATTCATATCTTACGTGAAAACAATTTAATACAAAAAAAAGATTGCATCACATAAAAGTGAACAAAATTTAAAGAAATTTTTCGGCAAGAAAAAGAACAGTTGCATTCCACGCTCGATCTGCTGATTTTTTTCGATAACGTGGCTGACCTGGTACAGTAAATGCGTGATCTGTATGACTATACGTGATCAGTTGCCAATCCGTGTTACGCGCATTCATTTCTGATTCAAATTTTGGAATCTAAAAGTATGGTTGCAGCGAAAAAATAATTCATTTACAGTAATCAAAAATAAATTATCAAAGATCAGTAGATCAATTTTTGATGTATTTATTTTCTCTTTTAAAATAGATATTAATACGAATATTATGCGCTCGAAGCTTTTCAAGTTTTTAATTAACAGTATTATTATGTAAAAATAATAACAATAATAGAATAAATAAAAATAAAAAGGTTTTCATAAAGAACCTCAGATGCAACTGATTTGTCGTCATAGCCATGAAGAACTAACACGCTTGCTTGTATTGCTGTTTTTGTTTTTAGTTTTTGACGTGGTGCGTTTAAAAATCCGTGAAAAACTACAGCAGCTTTCAAGCCAGCTAAGTTAGCTCGAGCTGCGTCTAAAACTGCTAAGCCACCAAAACAATAACCAATAATGCCAAGCTATAAAATTTGAACACATAATTCAGTTTAACAAACTTTTTGGAAATTATTTTTGTTTAAACCACTTTAATTCATTTTAATTGTTATAATATGCTAATTCAGTTGCAATCACTAGTACGAGATTAAACGACTGAAATATGTTTTACCAAAAAATGCTTAATATTTCTCCATATTTCACCTTCCACTTACGTGATCAAATTTATAATTTAGACTTAAGCTTTACAGATCATACCATAATGAGCCATACCATTTAGACTTTAAAAACCCGTACATACATGAAAAGCACAAAGCAATCAAGTTTCAAGAAGTTTTGGTCTTGAAAAGCAAATTTCTTAGAGAGTGATTGTTGCAAAATAAAACAGTACTTTGTTTGGGTTCAGTTTTCCACTAGCATGTAACTTTAACTGCGCGAAAGCCAACTCGACACGTTCTATCAGCATTGTACGATTGTTTTGAAAAGGATTCATTAAAAGTTTGTTGT